AGTTACTTGCTCTGAGAAAATAATGAAGAAGAGGATAGACACGAAGACACTTTAAAGCCTCCTGAATAGAATGCATCCAGAAGCGAATTCCAGGAGATTCTATCATCATGCTTGCCTTTCAAGCAAACAAACTCAGCTGCTAGAACTGAGAAAGAGTGTAAACACCAACTAAATGCCCCAAAGAATCATGGTAGTAAATTACTTCTCCGTGCTGCTCCATATAAACCTGCTGTGCCACCTGTTGAGGGCAGCACTGATGCTGCATGTTCAGTCTGGTTCCAGGCCCCGGCAGGAATCCGCCATTGTGCCAGCCTTACTGGAAGGATTGGAGAGCAGCTGGTTCTCAGCAATGCAAGTGTCAGGCCAGCCTGGGGCTGCATAATGCTGCTTAAGAGATGACAGTGGTGGACCCCAGCACCTCTCCGAGGGATGTAGAATCTGCTCTTCCCATTTCTGAATGCTACTGAAACAAATCTACAACTAGAAAAATCAAATATTCATGAATTCAAGACTTGGGATCTCAGTACTAAGACTTTAAAGAGGTTGCCAGATGGATCGCTTCTGTGGTGACAGCCCTGGCAGGAGCATTCAAAGTGCTCTGTGAGCTACAAAGGAAACCAATTGATGGTGTGAACACCACTACAGGGCAACCTGCACACCACAGCAATTTGACAGCTCAGGTTCTGTGTCTCACGTGACGCCAGGCTTGTCCTTGGAAAGAAGGCCTACAAAATTCTTCATATCTCCATTCCTTGGCATCTGCTGGCAAACTCCTACTCGTATTTTAAGACTCAGCCTCTCCTGTGACACCTGTGTCTTCTCTCCAGACAGGGAGGGACCCTTGCCTCTTCAGGGCTCCCCACACTGGAGTATAACTGCTCCTGTGTCTGATGCCTTTAGTCTCTCAGTGCCGGGAGGTATTCATGCTTATGTCCCCATGGCCTGTAACAGAGCCTGCATCAGGATGCTTGGAAAGGACTGTTGAATGAATGTCAAATATGGGTCCCTCTGATGGGTCTATACATGTTGGTCTAGGCTTGAAAGGGTCACAAAGAGTTGTGCATACTTACGATTTCAATCAAATATCACTATTTTTAGTTAAGAGGGAAGAGTAGTGTGAAATTGTCAATGATTAGATACTCCAAATATTCTTTAAAAACTAATAGCATTGATGTATTAAGAATGCAATCATACATTAGAAGACACATTCTATTTTTAGATTTTTACTTAGTTTAAATTCTTCCTTAATCTGCATATTTACCTTATTGACAGAATTATTTCAGAAGAAATTGATCATTTCATGGAACAAGATTTATTAGACACAAAAGAAAACTGAATCATAACAATTGTACAGGTGGGAAATTGAACAACAAAAATGACCCTGAGATACCCACATTCTACTTTGGCATATAGTGGGAAAAACATTCTAGACTTCAAGTCTAGGCCTGTCTTGGCTAATGTAACTGATGACTTCACAAACCTGTCATGGGACTAGAAACTGAAAGGAAAATACTGGTGGATAAACACCATGTTGAAATTATGTTGAGTCGCTTATTTGCTATAAAACACAAATTGTTTTGTGTAAAGGGGTTAAGATGGCTGGAAAACTGTCTCCATTCAAGAGCAAGAAAGCAGCATGTGTCTTATCCTGTACCTCCATATTTACTTGTACTTCATCATTTCTGAGGGAGAAATACATGGAAACCAGATGCTTGATTGTTACAGTTTCAGAACACGTCCTTAAAGAATATGACTCCAAGTCTAAGAATTGTAGGTCCTTTGCTTCTTAGATAACTACTGTTAGCCTTGATCATAGAGATTCCAGGTTTGATAATAACTTCAGTTCTCCCCCCTGTATATGTAGACGTTAAGTTACACAAATTTGGCATTACTCTCATTTTCAGGTTAATATCAGAACACTTGTTATCAAGTCAGGATAGTAATTGTAAGCCTAGATGCTCTAGGTTTGGCTATACGTAGTTCTCTACACCACCTACCCTTCCAATTAACAATTTACCAGTTGCTTCTATCCAAAGTACCAAGACTCTCCCGCAAATGGGGAATACTGGAAACTGGCTTGGCTTCTTGAAGCAACAGTAATCAGTAAGATCTTGGCCGGGCATGGTGGCTCATGCCTGCAATCCCAGCAGTTTAGGAGGCCAAGATGGGAAGATTGCTCAAGCCCAGGAGTTCAAGACCAGCCTGGGCAACATTGTGAAACCCCATCTCTACAAAGAAATACAAAAATTAGCTGGGCATGGTCGTGGGTGCCTGTAGTCCCATCTACTCGGGAGCTGAGGTGGGAGATCACCTGAGCCCGGGAGGCAGTTGCAGTGAGCCAAGATCGCACCACTGCACTCCAGCCTGGGTGACAGAGTGAGACTCTGTCTCAAAACAAAACAACAATGTGGCTAGGCGTGGTCACTAATGCTTGTAATCCCAACACTTTGGGAGGCCAAGGAGGCAGATCACTTGAGGTCAGGAGTTCGAGCCCAGCCTGGCCAACGTGGTGAAAGCTGTCTTACTAAAAATACAAAAATTAGCCGGGCATGGTAGCACACGCCTGTAATCCCAGCTACTTGGGAAGCTGAGGCAACAGAATTGCTTGAACTGGGAGGCAGAGGTTGCAGTGAGCTGAGATCATGCCTCTGCACTTCCAGCCTGGGCTACAGAGCAAGAACTCTGTCTCAAAAAAAAAAAACAAGAATCTTACTACTGCTTCTTCGGAGATACTTTTGGTATTATTTTGACAAGTGAATTTTGAGGATTCAAATATCAGAAAGGGATTATTCTTGGTAGAGGCAACAAAATTGTACCAAATGACCTTTTGTGTTAAACACGATTCAGTCACCCAACCCCAGAAAGGAGCCTGAATGAAGTCTAATTTGGGTGACAAATTCCCACCCAAATTAGATGTATGTCATTCAGGTATAGAGAATTGATTTTATATTAGAAAAAACAAACCTTGTGAACAGTTTTTTAAATAACTGTTTCATGATTTTCTGTAAGTAGTACTGATCTCTTACATACAGATCTTTTGTGTCTTTCTCCTCAAGTTAGTATACAACAGGGCAAGTGGCAAAGCTCGAGGAAAGCGTGACCTGAGGTTCATGCTGTCAGCTCAATGATGCTGGAGTTTGGCCTGTCAAATCTCTAACCTGTCAAATGAAGTTAATTAGGATTAATTTTTTTTAATGTATGTTTACTACTGAAAATAAGTGCTCAGCCAGGCACGGTGGCTCACGCCTGTAATCCCAGCACTTTGGGAGGCCGAGGCTGGCAGATCACCTGAAGTCAGGAGTTTGAGACCAGACTGGCCAACATGGCAAATCACCATCTCTACTAAAAATACAAAAATTAGCTGGGTGTGGTGGCACATGCCTGTAATCCCAGCTACTCGGAGCCTGAGGCAGGAGAATCGCTTGAACCCAGGAGGCGGAGGTTTTGTTGAGCCGAGATTGCGCCATTGCACTCCAGCCCGGATGACAGACACTTGTATCTCAAAAAAAAAAAAAAAAAAAAAAGGAAAAGAAGTGCCCAGTAGCTTCAGTGGATGCCACACAATTCTGGAGTAATTTTTACAATCAGGATTTTCATTGTCCAAACCCCTTAGAAAAAGAAGCAACCCAGCCCCTTACCCAGAAAGTCAGGCTGTATACTGCTGTTCCTTAGTGAGGTCAGCTCTCAGTAGAAACATCTCCTGTTTGGATTCGTGCTTAGTTGACCTATTGTGTTCAGTTCCTCTAACATGAGTAACTTCTAATGGGTAGGAAATTTTAAAGCTCAAAGGGTGCATTGAGAATTAACATTACTGATTTTCCACTGTTACTTTTTAGTGTTTTCATAACTTGGATGTGTTAACCTATGGCCCATCACCTATGCTCCTAATCTCAGGTGACAACATGTTCAATTTAAGATGGCAGGCAGTACAGTGGACCTCTCATCCCATGGGAAAGAACCCAGGATGTTTATTATGTAGTATTGTATAGTCTCTGCAGCAGTAACAGAGAAAGTTAAAGGTAAGCGGTGGAGAAGTAAAATCTGGAGTTTCTAATATAATCCTTCTTACTTTTCTTTCTAAAAAAAAAATAATAATAAGAGACAGGGTCTCACCATGTTGTTCAGGCTGGTCTCTATCGAACTCCTGGGACCAAGCGGTCCTCGCCTCAGCCTCCCAAAGTACTGGGATTATAGGCATGAGCCACTGTGCCTGGCCAAGTTCACTCTTCTTAAAGGTCTGCTAATAAGAGGGTTTCCACTTTTTGAAACAAATTCATGATTACCTAAAATGAAGCTAGGTTATGAAGTATATATAAATATGCAGCCCAATAGGCTGGGTGCGGTGGCTCACACCTGTAATCTCAGCACTTTGGGAGGTTGAGGTGGGCAGATCACTTGAGGTCAGGAGTTTCAGACCAGCCTGGCCAACACGGTGACACCACATCTCTACAAAAAATACAAAAATTAGCTGGGTGTGGTGGCCTGTATGCACCCATAGTACCAGCTACTTGGGAGGCAGAGGCAGGAGAATCACTTGAAGCCAGGAGGCAGAGGTTTCAGTGAGCTGAAATTATGTCACTGCACTTCAGCCTGGGCAGTGGAGTGAGACTGTCTCAAAATATATACACATATTTGCAGCCCAATAAAGACACTTAGATAAAACTATTGGGTTTATTCCTTGAAAACTAGGGCATGTGTAACTAGATCTGGCTTATAAAAAGCAAAGTTATTTACATATGTTTTAAGGTAAAATTGCTTCTGATAAATGTCAAAGAGGAAGTTTAGGTCTTTCTCCTGGCAGAAAGCCAGAGAGTAAGTGCTGAATGTGACTCAGAATGATGTTAGGTAACAAGGACTTTGAGGTAAGTGGCTGAAGTCCTCTGTGAAATCAGCCAACTCTTGCAGGATTGTGTGGTATCAGTCACCTGCAAACACTTCGGCATTTGCCAGCCCAACTCTGATCATTCTTCTTCTTTCAAGGTATCTCAGCGTTTGAGTCAGCCAGGAGTAGCAATAGGTTTGGCTTGGACTCCCTTAGGTGGAGAAATCATGTTCGTGGAGGCGAGTCGAATGGATGGCGAGGGCCAGTTAACTCTGACCGGCCAGCTCGGGGACGTGATGAAGGAGTCCGCCCACCTCGCTATCAGCTGGCTGCGCAGCAACGCAAAGAAGTACCAGCTGACTAACGGTAGGAGCCTGCACCCGGCCAGGCAGGCATGACCCAGGAGGTGACACCATTCCATGGCGGAGACTGGCATGAGCTCGAGACTGCTAGTTACGCCTCTAGCGAAGTACACACTGTTGCTTTTGAACCCCTGTGGAAATTCTAGTTCCCATTTCAGGACTATTTGACTAGTGCCTGAACTAGAAACTAATTCAAAAGGTTTATTTTGTTTTAATCCGACTTAGAGTGGAACTATTCTTCTAGACCCTCACTCAAATTGTACTCTCCACTAATATTTTGAAGAATTCATTTACCCTAAACATTCATTTTTGTTTGTGACTTTTTTTTTTAGGAGAAAAAGAAAACAGGTTTAATTTTTCTACATTAAAGTCCTTTTTTCCTTTTTAAAGCTTTTGGAAGTTTTGATCTTCTTGACAACACAGACATCCATCTGCACTTCCCAGCTGGAGCTGTCACAAAAGATGGACCATCTGCTGGAGTTACCATAGTAACCTGTCTCGCCTCACTTTTTAGTGGGCGGCTGGTACGTTCAGATGTAGCCATGACTGGAGAAATTACACTGAGAGGTCTTGTTCTTCCAGTAAGTATGAAAAAAACAATTTATATGGTTTTTATTTTTTATTTAATTTTTTTAAATTAATATTATTTTTAAATAGGGGTTTTGCCTTCTATGAAAACCTTGGTTTTAAGTATATATTAAATTTTTATACCTGTAACTAATTCATATTTTAAATTTTTGATCAAATAAAAACTGACAATTTTTCACATTTTCCCTTCTTTTTTTTTTTTGAAATAGGTTTCATTCTGTTGCCCAGGCTGGAGTGCAGTGGTGTGATTGTAGCTCACTGTAGCCTCCAACTCCTGGGCTCAAGTGATCCTCCTGTCTGTCTCCCAAATAGTTGGGACTATAGGAGCACGCCACCATGCTCAGCTAATTTATTTTATTTTGTGTAGAGACAGGGTCTCTCTGTGTTGTCCAGACTTGTCTCAAACTCCAGGCCTCATGCAGTTCTCTCATCTCCACCTCCCAAAGTGCTGGGATTACAGGCGTGAGCCCCCGCATTCAGCCCATGTTTTCCATTCTAAGAAGATTTGCTAAGGGAGAAAATATTAGTGTGGTCATCAGAAATACCGGCAGTTCACATGAAAATTTGAGGCCTTGTTCTACTTGACAAATTGTTAAAGATATAGCACGTGTGCAAAATAGGATAGTAGCTTTTTTTAAATTTTAAGCCCATTTCTTAAATTTGAAGTTTCTTTGAGACCTCCTCTCCCCCTGCAGAAAACTTTGCTAGTATAGAATGGAAACTCTAATAAACATTAACCGTATCTAATGACTACATTTTGAAAAGGTTCTATACATGTGGGGTCTTGAGGCTCCAGATCCTAAACTGCTTATAAAAATATTGTGATAAAATGTACAGAACTTAAGAGTATTTAGATTTTATTAGTTGCCAGTATTAGTCTACAACAGACAACAATTTAGTCTACAACAAGATTTTGGCAGGTTCATAGCAAGATGAGGAAAAAAAAGGAAATAGTCTTTTTTTTTTCCTATTGAGATGGAGTCTGGCTCTGTTGCCCAGGCTGGAGTACAGTGGCACAATCTTGGCTCACTGCAACCTCTGCCTCCCAAGTTGAAGTGATTCTTCTGCCTCAGTCTCTCAACTAGCTGGGATTACAAGCGTGCACCACCACGCCCGGATACTTTTTTCTATTTTTAGAACCTCTGTAGAACAAATGGGTTTTCTACTTGGTCCCCTCTCAGAGCAAATCGTAGCCCAAGTAAAGGCTTCCACAGCCTCAGGAGAGGACAGCCACAGCGGCCTGGAGTACACCTTCAGCTCCAGACTATTACAAGAGGCAGGACGGAAAGCAGCAGCACTTGAAGGAAAGGCCTGCGAAGGCTGGAGAAAACCTCTTTCGAGAACAGAGGACAAGACGGGGCTTTGAGATTTAAAAGTGGTCAGAGAATTATTCAGGAAAAAACTATAGTGAAAAACAATTTGTTCTAACAATTGTTAGAACTCCAGCATCTAAAAGGAGTTCTAACAGGAAGATGAAATGGAACAAATTATCCAAGAAATAATTGAACATTTCCTAAAAGTTAGGCATCTTCAGATCAAAAGGACCATTACTAACCAGGAAAAACATTTCATCCTCTTGACTTTTCAGATCACTGAGGGTAAAGTGGCCTCAGCACTGACACGGGATGTGCAGTACCTTCAAAATTATGAGGGAAAACGGGCCGGGCGCGGCGAATGATGTCTGTAATCCCAGCACTTTGGGAGGCTAAACAGGAGGATAGCTTAAGTCCAGGAGTTCAAGACCGGCCTGGGAAATATAGTGAGACTTCATCTCTACAAAAAATTGTTTTAAAAATAGTAATGAGGCTGGGTGTGGTGGCTCACGCCTGTAACTCCAACACTTTGGGAGGCCAGGGTGGGCGGATCACTTGAGGTCAGGAGTTTGAGACTAGTCTGGCCAACATAGTGAAACCCTGTCTCTACTAAAAATACAAAAAATTATCCAGATGTGTTGGCACATGCCTGTAATCCCAGCTACTCGGGAGGCTGAGGCAGGAGAATCGCTTGGACCTGGGAGGCAGAAGTTGCAGTGAGCCAAGATCATGCCACTGCACTCTAGCTTGGGTGACAGAGTGAGACTGTCTCAAAAAAAAAAAAAAAAAGTAACGAAAGCTGTGAGGGAAAATGTTTTAAATCTAGTCTTATATACATGGCCTTACTATCAATCAAGTGTGAAAGTAAAATATTTTCAAATATGCAAGGCATCAGTTCATCTTACACTCTTTTGAAGAGGGTATTTTGAAGGAGTACTTCAGCAGCATGAAGAAAACCTTGAAAGAAGATGCCAGTGGGGCAGGAAGGCCTAGAGCAACCAGTCTTAATTGGAACAGATGCTCAGAGGGCTGTCTCCAGGGCGTGCATATGCTGGGTGCTGTGACTGAGAGCAGTATTTGTGAGCAATTGCTGCGCAACACATTACCCCAAAGCAAGAATACTTCATACTCTCCATGTTTCTGTGGGCTAGGAATTAAGGAGAGGCTGAGCTGGGTTCCTGTGGCCCAGGGTCTCTGGGCTTACAGTTTAGGTTCCAGCCAGGCCACAGTCACGTGAGGGCTGACAGGCTGGAGAAGTTGCTTCCACGGTGGTTGACTCATGTAACTGGCAAATTGGTCTTGTTTGGTGGCAGGAGGCCCCAGTTCCTCACCTGATGGGCCTGCCCATAGGCTGCTTGAGTGACCTCAGACATGATGACTGGCCACCTCCAGGGCAGGTGATCAAGAGAGATCCAGGCAGCAGCTCTCATTTTGTGTGACTCAGCTGTGGAGCTCATACAGCATCACTCCCACCACACTCTGTTTCTTACGAAGTCACAAAGCCTGGCCCACATTCAAGCCGGGGGACCATTGTAGACATGTTTGAAAGCCACCATAGGAGCCTAGTTTGGGGATATGTTTTACCAGCACGGAAGTCCTGGCTTTAAACCTGTAGAGAGGGAAGTAACTCCAGCACACAGCTAAGCTCTGCAGGAGCGGCACTCATGCATGGTCAGAATCACGTGCTGCTTTTTCAGATCAACCTAAAGACAAGACAGTTGTGATTACACCTGGAATGCCAATGTCTACTTTGACAGTATTTATAAAAAGAATCATTGACCGAAGGGGAACTCATACCTATGAACAATTTAAAATCCGCCCCCCGATCAGAGTCTTTAATACAACACCAATTGAAACATTTTAAAAAGGTTACTACTTGCCAACCTTTTTCCTGGCTTTCCTAGCTCATACGGTAACAAAATGGAAGATGATTTGGATGTTTTAAAATAGTAGTAAATTCAGTGAAAGCAAGCTGGGTCAGGATTTCTTTCAGCTTGAGGGTGATCATTAACCCTAAAAACGTTTTTCTCTCCTTACAGGTGGGTGGAATTAAAGACAAAGTGCTGGCGGCACACAGAGCGGGACTGAAGCAAGTCATTATTCCTAGGAGAAATGAAAAAGACCTTGAGGGAATCCCAGGCAATGTACGACAGGATTTAAGTTTTGTCACAGCAAGCTGCCTGGATGAGGTTCTTAATGCAGCTTTTGATGGTGGCTTTACTGTCAAGACCAGACCTGGTCTGTTAAATAGCAAACTGTAGGCCCAAATCTCAACTTTTTAGAATTTTAAGTTATGAAGTGCTCAAAGGTACTGACACGGTTGATTTTATTCACACCATTAGGGGTATGCAAGATGTCCCTGTTCCGTAAACATAATCACAACAGTAATAAACCAAGTAGTGGCTAGTGTTTAGTATAGAAACATAAGATGTTCATTTAGTAAACTGATAAAAATCGAATTCTTGTCTTGTTTTTAGTGGGATCCTTACTGTCCCTGGAAAGATACAGCATAGTGGTTCTCAGCACAGTCTCCAGAACAGAAGCATCTGTAGTACCTGATAACTTGTTAGAAATGTACATTCTCAGGCTCCACAGCAGGCTGCCTGAATCAAATCCTGGGAGGTGGGGGCAGAAATCTGTTTTAAGAAGCCGTCCAGGTAATTCTGCACAGTCAAGGAACCACTGGTATAGACCATTACTTAATGGATTTACCTGTAGAGTTTATTGGATCCTGAAACCAATCACTTAGAACTCGGAAAAGATGAAAGTATAGCCAACTATTCTTGACTAATACATATATTCAAGTGGACTGGGTGTGATGGCTAACACCTGTAATTCCAGCACTGTGGGAGGTCGAGGCAGGCAGATCACTGAGCCCAAGAGTTCAAGACCATCCTGGCCAACGGCGAAAACTCTGTCTCTACAAAAAATAAATTATACAGGCGTGGTGGCATGTGCCTGTAATCCCAGCTACTCGGGAAGCTGAGGCACAAGAATTGCCTGAACCTAGGAGGTGGAGATTGCATTGAGCTGGGATCATGCCACTGCACTTCAGCCTGGCTGACGGAGCGAGACTCTGTCTCTAAAAAAGAAAAAACTCAAGTGGACCCTACGAAGAAGCCTACACATCCCAACAGAAGCCCCTTCTTATGCTGGGGGAAGCAGCCCTCAGAACATGATAGCTTGTATCCAGCAGAGTGGCACATGCTGGCACACCTCACAGAAGCACCCTGGCCCTGGATGCCTGCAACCTCAGAAGAGTGCAGCTCCCGGAGGGAGGCAGCCATCCATCTGGGATGGTCCTAAGCATGGAATCGTAACTCCTGATACCGTCTCCTATTTCTTGCTTGGCTACCAGTTTCCAAATCTGATAGATGTCCATGCCCATGTGCTCCTGCTGGGACTCAATCCAGGCTGTGTATGACTATGAAGTCAGGATCACCTGCTTACTGGCTATGTGAACTTTTTGTATCTTGGTTTTCCTCATCTATGAATTCCAAGTAATGCTACCTAATTGTTACTGTGAAGATTAAGTTCAAATGCAATGTGAAATAATATTAAGCAATTTCTAGTTATTCTAGCCAGTAATGGACTTCAGAATCTTATATTACACAATATAAGAATATATATGTAAAGACATTTTGGAATTTCCTGGATGAGAAGGAAGTCTGGGCTGGGCATGGTGGCCCATGCCTGTAACCCCAGCACTTTGGGAAATCGAGGCGAGTGGATCACTTAAGCTCAGGAGTTCCGGACCAGCCTGGGCAACATGGCAAAACCCCATTTCTACAAAAAATACAAAAATTAGCTGGGCATGGTGGCACCCGCCTGTAGTCTAGCTACTTGAGGCTGAGGTGGGAGGATCAGGGAGGTCGAGGCTGCAGTGAGCCAAGATCACGCCGCTGTACTCCAGCAGCCTGGGCGACAGAATGAGACCCTGTCTCAAAAAAAAAAAAAAAAAAAAAAAGATTTGGCCAAAATACTGTGATAAAATAGCAGACCTGCTGATAAAGTTTATCTGAATGCATTCTGAGAGGAAAAGTCCAGACCTAGGACTAGTTACGGCAGTTGAAGAGAAAGAACATCAGGACGTTTGAAAATATGCCATTGACTCTTATCAACTACTGTAATTTTATCATTTCCAGTGTCATCTAAAAGGGAACTAGAACAAACTGTGAATTCACTTTCAGCAACCAGAGGGAGCTAATCCACATTCACATCGCTCTGCCCTGTTCCACCCAGCAGGGACAACAAAGGACGTTTTTAGTATCACTTGGGGTTCTCAGTATTCTTCCTTTAGTCCTGACACAGGCAGCCTTGCACTTGTCTGTAGCAGCAGGAGGGCACTTGCTTTAAGCATGTCTTTCGAAAGGCGCCCATTGAGAGAATAATGCATTTTCCCTTTGCTGTATATGACATGGAACATGCTAGCTTTTTTTTTTTCTTCCGGGGTGGGAGGTTAGTTGTTTGACGTCTAAGCTCTTCCTTTTTCACCTGTTTTATTTGGGGGGGGGGGGCGGATAGCCAAAATATAAAATCTATTATTTTAACCATTTTTAAGCATATAATTCAGGGGTATCAGTTACTGGGTGTGTCCACTGTCTACATGATTTTTTTTTTTTTTTTTTTTTTTTTTTTGAGACGGAGTCTCATTCTGTCACCCAGGCTGGAGTGCAGTGGCATGATTTCGGCTCGCTACAACCTCTGCCTCTCCAGTTCAAGCAATTCTCGTGCCTTAGCCTTCCAAGTAGCTGGGACTACAGGTGTGTGCCACCATGCCCGGCTAATTTTCGTATTTTTTAGTAGAGATAGGGTTTCACCATGTTGGCCAGGCTGGTCTCAAACTCCCGACCTCAAGTGATCTGCCCACCTCGGCCTCCCAAAGTGCTGGGATTACAGGTGCGAGCCACCGCACCCGGCTTACGTGCATTTTTTATCACCACAAACTGAAACTCTGTACCTAAAAAGAGTTCCAAATTCCACCCTCACCCCAGACCCTGGTAACCACTACTTCACTTTCTCTCTGAATTTGCCTTCATATGAATGGGATTAAACAAGAGTTGCCCTTTTGTGACTGGCATTCTTACTTAGCAAGCCATCAGCTGCTCGAATAGTCACTGGGGCAACTAATTTTCGCCCAGTGTCCTCCAGAAAAGAAAGATCTGGAGGGACAGGCTACTGTTTTTCTTCAGAATAATGAGGGGGCAGATGGGTAGGGATGAACCTCTTCCTCCTCTGCCACTTTAGCTCAAAGGAACTCCCATCTTTTTATTATTTGCAAGTTAGCTTTCTGTTTCACATCTCTGCCTTGTAGAACCATGACCTATCAAGGTGTTTTGTCAAAAAATAATACTTTCCCTGGGAAAAAGCCATGTGGTAGCAAATACCAAAACTTTTTATGGCCAAATAATACGCCATTATATCCATAGACCGCATTTGGTTTACCACTCATCTGCTGATTGTTTCCTCCTCTTGGCTGTTATGAATAATGCTGTGAACATGGGCGTACACATCTCTCTCGAAGTCCCTTTGGTCCTTTAGGGATACATATACAGGAGCGGAATTGCTAGATCACATATGCTAAGGTCTGAATGTCTCTCCACCAAATTCGTATGTTGAAGCAACCACCAATGTGTTATTAAGAGGTGAGGCTTTAGGGGGTGATTATGTCATGAGAGCTCCACCCTCATTAATGGATTTAGTGCCTTTATAAAGGGGCTCAAGAGAATCAATTACCTCCTTTTTGCCCTTCGATTCCCTTCCACCATACGATGACACAGCAACAGGCCCCATCCTAGAAGCTGAGACTGGGTCCTCAACAGATACCAGTCTGCCAGCACGTTGATTGTGGACTTCTCAGTCTTCAGAACTATGAGAAATAAATTTGTTCTTTTAAATTACCCAGTCTCAGGTATTCTGTTATGGTTAACACAGATGACTAAGACAACAGGATAATTGTTTAACTTTTTGAGAACTGCCAAACTTTTCCACTGCAGCTGCACCATTTGACATTCCCGCCAGCAATGCACAAATGTTCGTTTCTCCACATCCTTGCCAACACTAATTTTCTGGGTTTTTTATAATAGCCCTCCAAATGGCTGTGACGTATTTTGATTCTATGTCCCTAATGACTAGTGATGTTGAGCAAAAGACCCCTGTATCACAATAATTATGCTGGATTTTTTATTGAAAATTATTAACTCTAGGAATTTTAGTTCACTAGACCTAGGGATATGTGTATTTTACCAGTATTCCACATTTTATGCATGGGTTTTTAAAACTTTTCAAGTATTAAAACTAAAGCTTTAGGTGCTTTATCAAGAAATTCTACACTGTCCACTGGAGGCATCCATGTTTTTAACTCGGCTCTGACCCTTTAGTGGTCCCTCTGAACCTTACCTCAAACCTTGCATCAGAGGTAGATCCCTACTTGCTTAGTGGTTACAAATGCAAATACAGTGAAGAATGTCATCTTTGTGATTGTTCCTAAAATAGTTCACGTCAGTTGAGAAATCCGTGACTGTAGTTAAAGTAATGTGATAGTGAAGTCTACCACCGTGAGCTTCCAGTACTAGGTGATTTGTCTGGATTTACAGTGACCACAATCAACTATGTGGTCAGGTAATTCACTGCTGAGGGCTTTGGATTTTCCTTTATGAACTACTGAAATGAGGTCAACTTGACTATTACTAAGGGACATTTTGCTACAAAGAATGTTAGTTTTGCTAATTCCCTTTCCAAATCTAGAATTTATTTTAACCAGGATTTTAGATGTTAAACATCAAGTAGTTTTGGTTGTTTCAAAGAAGTAACATGTTTAAGCTCACATTATTTGAAGTACTTCAGTTCCTATCCCCATGAAAATTGTATCCAGCAGCTTAAAACAGACTAGTAGTCATTATCCAATTTGATGATTTATAGTGCAACATTAATGCTCATTTTTTGTTTTACTAACATTTGGTGGATCCCACAATGAAAATTGCACTTAAAAAAAAAAAAAAAAAAAAAAAAACGCTGAAAGAGGAAGGAAATATCAAAAGAGTCTGAATAGACAACAGGCAAATCTGGTGAGCGGTCACTGAGATGTTTTAAATGTTACCAACAAAAGGACTTCTAAAACAATTTTAGGAAAAGCTTTATTTGCCATAAAAATTCATTTCTTTGGAACATACTATAGTTTGTACTTAATGAACTAAAGAATAGTTACTCAATGTGTTTAACATTTTGGGATCTAATAAAATCTTTTGTATTAAGTTCAACTGTAACATTGGCAATACAAACTCTTGAGGCTAAATTCTCATCCTGACATGACAGTGCAAGCCTGTCAAAATGTGACCCCAAAACTAGGTGTCCTTTCACTCCATTATATCTGTAAACCTGTTATGCTTTTCAGAATTTAGAAAGGCCTAAGAAAAGTACTTCTGTGATAATAAAGTATATTTTGTCAAATTTCTAGAGC